GTTAAATGAATCTAACACTTAATGAATTTGAATGCTAAGAATGGAGTTAATAATTAATTAAAGTGGCTAGCCATACATATACATGTATGGAGACATTATTAATAGTTACTTTAAAGAAGCCAGGTACCTAAAAAGAGGTCAAAGAATGTAAAGATGACAATCCACATTGGATCATGCAATTGCAGGAGCATCATGAGGTAAGTCAGAGAGCACACAGGACACACAGAGGGGAAAAAAAGGCAGGAAACAAGGAAACTCCATCTTTACATTTGTAGCAACCAATCACAGTTGAGGTTGCATCATGTAGGGGCCAGCTCTCCAACCAATTAGCTATAACTGTGTGTTCTTACCAACTCTAAAAAAAACCTGTCCAACCCAATCCATTCTGATGCAGCCCCACCGGAGCTGAGCAATCGATTTCATATATTCTCCCAGGAAGAAAACATGCAGACACCTAGAAAAGAACCATCATCAAATGTCTCTAAAAAGGTAGCATCATCAAGAACTTCTGTGACAGGTAGAAAAATACCACAAACTCTCCTAGGAAAAAAAAAGGAGAGAGTTGGTGATAGGAGATTCAATTCTCAAGGGAACAGTACACCAGTCAATCTAGAGAGATATGTTAAGTCCCTGGAGCAAAAATCAAGGATATGGCTGAGAACGTAATAATAAATAATAAAACACAGAGATTATTACCCTTTTCTACTACTACACTTAGGGACAAATAACACAAAAATGAATCTGAAAACAATATTGAGTGATTACGAGCAGCTAGGCAAGAAAGTTAAGGAGTTAGGTGCATAAGTAGTTTTAAATATACTGAGCTGACAACACTCTAGATGATAGGCTCAAGATCTAGATGGATCTTGACAGACTTGAAGACTGGGGCCCTATCTAACAAAATGAAACTCAATGCAAACAAAAGAAAAGGCAAGAAAAACCAAAAGTACATTTACAAATTAGGTGAAACCTGGCTTAATAGCAGTAACTGTGGGAAGAATCTAATGGACAACCAACTACATATGAGCCAGCAGTGTGAAGCAGCAGTTAAAAAAAACAAATGCAATCCTAAACTGCATTAATCCGAGTGACTGATTCAAGATCATGTGAAGTACAAATACCACTCTATAAAACTTTAGTAAGATCACACCTAGAATACTGCATCCAGTTTTGTTCACCACACTACAAAAAAAAAATGTTGTGGCTTTAGAAAGAGTCTGAGAAGAACAACAAAGATGATTGGGGCCTGGACGCTAAAACATCTATCAATTGTTCCTTGATTGGCCCTCAGATGCTTTCCTGACAGTGAGAACAATCAACCAATGGAACAGGTTCCCTTCAGAAGTTGTTGGTGATTCATCACTGGAGGCTTTCAAGAAGAGACTGGATAGCCACTTGTCAGAAATTATATAGGGTCTCCTGCTTGAGCAAGGGACTAGATGACCTACAAGGCCCCTTTCAACTCTGTTATTCTCTGTATTGTCCAATCGTTCACTGCTCCAGCGATTAAATTTTAAATATCTTAAGAAAGTGGATATGTATGTACAAAATAATAATTAAAAGAGCCAGGGGTGTCACATCTGGTGCAAATTATGAAAAATATAACAAAGAATTCACATACTGAGACAACTATGAGTCCTGCTGTCTTAAAGTGATCAATTCATATACAAGAAAAGCTTCAAAGAACAAGGGTTAAATAATAAAACTTGGTTAATTCAAAACAAGATTTCTTCAAGATTGCTTAAAGAGCTAAATCTCATGCAAAGAATAGCTTTTTGAAAGAAACCCCAAAACTTCTGTAACAAAGCTTACAACAGAAGGTTCTTCTGCATAGAAGCCATGCATTTAAACCCAAAAAGGCTACATAAACTAGCCTTTTACCTAGATCTTTAAAGACAAACATATGGATTAAGAGAATTAGAAAGACCCATATGTTACATGCATACCTGGTTGGAAATTACAAATTAAATACAGCACTTCTCCATGGTATTGTTACAGAAGAGACAATCAGGTTTTAATCAGTTTCCAAACAATAAAGATGGGCTGGATCTGAAGTCAAGTGAAGTCAGTAAAATGACAGTCATTACAACTAATAGAATATGATTATATTATATGAGACATCAAACATCCTCTTCAGACAAAGAATTAATTAGACTCTACTCCACCAAGTCAATTTGAAGCATTTGTCCTAGCAGCATTATCTTAATTATTCCTCATCAAAATGATAACACTTCCTACTGTGAACTAACATCGTTATGTAAACAAAATTACAGACTCAATAGTCTTGAAATATTATCCTTTGTCAAAACTCTCTTGTGTAACAGCTCTTTACAGCACATCCAAGTGAAACAACAGAAACATGGATCTAGCCTTGTCTGATGATATCAAGATATTTTAGCAATACTGTGTTTTCCCCAAAATAAGACCCAGTCTTAATTTCTTTTGGGCTTGAAAATAAGCAGGAATGGAATAGGGCCAGTGGGCTGTGGCTGCTACCAGACATCGTCGGAACGCGCACACTCACCCCCTTTCTTGCTGGCCATGCCCATCTTCCCAGGCTTATTTTCAGGGTAGGGTTTATATTAGGCCTACTCTCAAAAAAAATCAGGCTAGGGCTTGTTTTCAGGGTGGGTCTTTTTTTGGAAGAAACACAGTAGTTGTATCAATATGTATTCAGAGTAAATTCTATTCAATAAATCCTATTGAAACATAACATATATCAGTAGAATTTACAGTAAAAAAAACTGTGAGAACTATAATAAATACAGATTAGCCATTGATTTTAAAAACATATAATGGGTAATTACCACCTGCAAGTATATTAACACTATACATATAATCAATTTACAACCACACTTGGGACGATTATTAAGTTCTGTAGTCATAAAATGGGGCATCACATGACATCATCAACTTACAAAGGCACTCCTTGCTGTGGTTGTTAACTGAGAATTGCATACCATTATGTGAGTACCCATCCTAATCCAAACCATACCAGATTGGCTCCTTCTCAGTCCCAAGCTTAAATAAGATAAGAAACTGCCTCCAATTCCCCGCCTGCTTAATCTCTATCTCTGTCCTTCGGCCACCTGGTCCCTTTTCTTGCGGGCATCAAGCAGATCAAAAATTACATGGCTCTGTTTGTCATGCTCTGGTGAGTTTTAGCTGCCAGTCCATGTCAGCAAACATTCAGTCACCCAGCTTCCTTCTCTCCTAGTTCCCTGCACTGACCTTTTGCCTTTTATGCCCAGCCCCTATGGTCAAAGAAGAAATGCTTTACTGCCTTTGCTGTATCTATATCTATATCTATCTATCTATATCTATCTATCTATCTATCTATCTATCTATCTATCTATCTATCTATCTATCTATCTATCATCTATCTATCTATCTATCTATCTATCTATCTATCATCTATCTATCTATCTATCATATATCTATCTATCTATCTATCTATCTATCTATCATCTATCTATCTATCTATCTATCTATCTATCTATCTATCTATCTATCTATCTATCTATCTATCTATCTATCTATCTTTTTTTTCGGGTCTATGGCCATTATATAACCTGGCCATTCCACCTCACTGGTGAATGCTTCTTAGACATGGTTCCTTATCTTGCCTCAACAGCATGACACCAAGCCGCAATAGCCGTGAATATTCAGCAAGTATTTGTTTGCCTAGCTGTCTTCTTTCCCAGGTCCTTGTACTGAACTTTTGCTTTCACAACCAGCTATCGCAACCAAAGTGGAATGCCTTGCTGCCTTTACTATCTCCTTTTCGGACCCAGCTTCTCCGGCACATGATTCCTATCCAGGCTCTCTGAGATTTCAGAAACCTGTGCTACCTTCAGAAAGGTCAGGGAGGCTACCAAGTCAACAAATCCCGATCATGTAACTATAGAAAAGCTGCAACCGCTATAACTTTGGGCACGGGTGGGAAATCCATTTTTTCCAGCATTTTGCAATTGAAACGGTTCCTGAACAAATGGCCATAAATTGAGAACTACTTGTATGTTTAGTATACACACACCAGAGAGGGACAGGACAGGAAGAGGGGTGAGAGGGAGGGAGAGGGGGGAAAAATGCTGCCAATGAATTAGACATCAAATTTCTTGGATGCAAATCTTTTCTAAGCCATTCATGCAGGAGTAGTATGATGTGTGGGTGACTGTAGTGAATGAAGGAAAGAGATGCTGCTTAAGAAACAATCAGACAAGAGAGGCAGGAGTCCAGTGGCTTAATGGTCAGAGAAAGAAATTAGAAAGAGCCCACCCTAATCGATAAGATGGTTAAAAGTAACAGTGGCAACCTTGTATCTTTAGATTTGTAAGATTCTGATAATTGTCACTTTTCAATAACAGATATAGTTCATCTAAAAATGTTTCCTGTATGGTTTACCTAGGTGGGCTGTCATCAATCTCACACATTCTATTACAGCTCGGAAGGTTTATGTATCCCGTTAGATCTACATCCTCCTGTCTATAGATTCTGTTTATAGATTTTGCAACTCTGGGGAGGAGTTTCTTGTTATGTGAAGGAATCTTGAATCTAAAGTTGCTGCTTAAGAGAACTTTTCGATAATGTCTATCTAAGTTGTATCTCATTTGATGACAACTAAAAATGCTCTGCTCTAGTTACAATCAAACAATATAGCTGATCTCTATAAAGAAAAGTAAATACCTGTCAATTCCTGAGAACCACACTTATAACATTTAAAATGCTGAATGGACCCTTTTCCAAAATGTGCTGTTTCCAGATGCCAAAACTCAACTGCATCCAATGAACGTGCGCACAAATATTTAGCAATCTAAAAATACTTACAGATATAAAATTATATATCTATATCTATATCTATATCTATCTATCTATATCTATCTATCTATCTATCTATCTATCTATCTATCTATCTATCTATCTGGAAAAATATATAGCATTTTAATATATAGCATTTTTCTTGTTCTTTGTTAAGATTTAAAATTATTGTCAAAACTCACCAATAAGAATTGGGTGAACTCTGCATATGTTAGACGCCTTTTCCGATCTTTTCCAAAATGTAGTTGCACAAATTCAGAGTTCCAGTTAAAAGGAATACGGCGGTGAATTGTGGTCTGGCCAAACACCTGTTTAACATCCTCTGGGAAAGAAAATAAAAAAGTGGAAGAACTGAATTAGTGCAAACAGATCTGAAGCAATTCTGTGACAGGATTTGTTATCTGAACAGTTTCATTTAAATAAATCTTAACTAATTTATTTGCAATCTAATGTACAGATTGTATGCTACAAAATACTGAACCACAGGTTCTCCATTTTCTCCTCTCCTTTAAGAGATGCCATAACATTATGCTGCAACGTAAGTATGACTACGTATATGTCAACTTTCTCCAGCCTTTTAGGATTTCTATTCCAAAAATATTATAACATTATCAAGTCTATGCTGCCTGGGAATTATGCAGGCTGTAAATCTTGGGAAATTTAGAGGGCATCAGATTGGTGATGTCTGACATGAGCTACTTTTTAGTAGTTTCACACATGTATCTTGGCAGTTTTCAGCAACCCACTTCCTTATCTTAGGTTTCAATTATATACTTGCTATTCAGAAAGTCTCTCGCTTCTTTCCTGCCTTGCTTGACAAAGATCAGTTTCAAAATAATATACAGAGTAACTTTAATATACTGACTACATGTCATCTAGCATTTCTGTAATTCATTCAAATAATATACAACTTATTTTAGATATACAGAGCTAAATTATACTAACTATTCAAGTGACAGTCCCATTACTTGTACAGCCTCAAAATAGCCCATTATATAAAACAAACTACTCACTTTTGCTTTCAGTAGAGTAGAATAGGGTAGGGTAGAGTAGAATAGGGTAGGGTAGGGTAGAGTAGAGTAGAATAGGGTAGGGTAGGGTAGGGTAGGGTAGGGTAGAGTAGAGTAGAGTAGAGTAGAGTAGAGTAGAGTAGAGTAGAGTAGAGTAGAACAGAACAGAACAAGTTTGTTTGGCCAAGCGTGATTAAACACACAATGAATTTGTTTCCAGAAGATCTCAGTATACATGAAAAGTAACATCATAGTAATAATACCAAATAAGAGGAGATAGTAAAGAAGATACGGATAAATATGCTACAATCATGCAATATAGGTAAATGTACATAGACATTAGACTGTACTATAATAATTAGGTGTTCACTGGAGTGATGGCACAAGGGAAGAAAGTGTCTAGTTGTTTTGGCATGTAATGCTCTACTGCGGCATCCTGAGGGGAAGAATTGAAACTGTTTATGTCCAGGATGTAAGGAATCTGTAAGTATTTTCTCAGGCAGGTCTCCTTATGGCCTGCGCAATATACAGCTTTTCTTTGGAAGGCTGACTGGTTGCAATTGTTCTTTCTGCAGTGGAATCCATTGGAGTCTGTACCTGTCCTGTTTGGTTGCCATTCCAAACCAGACAATTATAGAAATACAAATGAGAGACTCAGTAATTCCTTTGTAAAACTGTATCAACAGCTCATTGCATTCTATTCCAAAGGTTTTTTACAAGATTGCATTTTCTAAATACTATGGGATCACAAACAAATCACTGCTTCCTTTCTTCCTTTACTTTGTATACCTAAAAATTGTAACCTGAATTTTTAAGAAGCAATGTTGTAATTTGATCTCAGGGTTTTATATTTTATCTCATTATATTTATATCTTTTACTCATATATAGTTATGAAACAGAAAATCAACTTTGCCCTTTTTGTTTGTATCTTACATTTCATTCTCATAACTTGCAATGGTTAATAAATTCTAATAGAAACTCAACAGAGTTTTTTTTCATTAACGCCACAGGGTTTATTCATTTATACAGAATAATTTTTTCCAGCAATCTTTATTTCACAAACATAGCAGTTAAATCAGATACAAGATACATTCATGCTTCATGAACAAATTTATAATACTTGTTCATATTATTTATTTAGTAAACAATTATTTACTAAAATAAATGTCAGATTTATTTTAATACCCACAACTATTTTTCATTCATACATATAAATTATGTACTTTATGCACCTTATCTACTCCTTTTTTAAATTTTGTGTGCCTGTTTGTGTGTATGTGTGTAAATCTACTTACTGTTGAGAAAGAAAAAAATTACTACAATAATCTTAGCTACGTTTTAAAAAATATAAAACCATGGGAAGTTAAAATTAGGAGGAACCTCCAGATATTTTTGAAATTCCAACTCCCATCAGGTTCACCCCATAAGAGTCAATGATCAAATGAGATAACTATAATTTGACATCAATTGAAGAGCTCATGGTTATAAGGTAAAAAGTCTTCATTGTATAATTTAAAACTTATGTAGGCATTATTTCTTTCTGATTATAATTATATGGAGAGTAAAGCAGACAGTATCCTGTACTTATAATTTATATATTGCTGACAAAATATCTGATGGTTATCCGCAAATTATTGGGATGTCTGTTTATTTATATGAAGAACAAAAAAAATTTCTTCTCCTGGACCCCATCAGCCAAAATTATCATTATTAAATGTTCAAAACCAGTTTTCTAAATTATTTATTTTTAAAAATGTATAAACATTCATTTATCCATCTACTGATCAGACTGCCCTCATGTATATAAAACATTTGGTAAAATGTTCTCCCCCCCTCCCACATATTTAGAGAAATTCACAGAAGAAAACAAGCACACCCTTTCTAATAGATAGTGAAGACAAGTTCTATACTTCCACCATTTTTTATCTGGTGAATGGAGGGAAGCTAGCTGTTTTTCCTGGGAGAGAAGATACAACACAATAGTAATTGTCCCACTAGCAGGCGAGGGAGGGGAGTAATACTTTACTTAAGAAATCTATTTTTTAAGAATAAATATTCAGATTGTACCCACAGAATGCTGCCATGACAATCCTGACTACAGTATAATAAAAAGCACTATAAAATGCTGTTCTTCTCAGCAGCCAAGCAGTTGTATCAGAAATACTTTATTTTACATTAAGACCTTAAAAAGAAAAAAAAACTTAGAACCTGATAAGGTCTATCCTGCCAATATGGCTACTACAGTACTATGAAAGGCAAGGCTCTCTTCTACTATACAACCAGCAAAAGGAAGATTTCATAAAAAAAATAAATTGCATAATGGGGTAAATAGAAGTAGCATTATTTGCACTAATACTAAGGATGCCTTTTCAATGCTTTTGACAAATCTTTTTAGCAATAGTTCAAGATCTAATAGAGAGGAAAGAAACTTAAAATTAGATCACAGTTCTAATAGTCAAGGCTTGAGAAAATGGATGTAAAAGAATAGACTTCAGCATTTATACTTCAGACTGGAAAGCAATGGAAAACCGTTGTTCATTGATTTAGAGTTTTCAAGAGTTTTAGCAAAATTCTGTTGCCCTTGATAGATTTATTTGTCCAAGCATGCAAAAGACAGTAGACTAATGAAAAAAGAGACAGAGGAATTACAAAGTTCAGGCAAAGCTGAATGCATTTTCTTTTACCAATATGCTACTATGAGACTCATGTAGTATGTCTCGTTCTTTACCCTTTCTATTTCTCTCTGACAAAACATGCACTTTTCTACTTCTCTCTGCATCCAGCCATATTATTGAGAAAGCATTCATCATGTTTGTTGAGGATCTTCAACAGGCTGAAGACAGAGGTAGTGTGCATTCCCTGGCCCTCCTAGACCTCTAAGAGATCTTCAATACTATTAATCAAACATTATCAATCATTGCTATCAATGCCTACATAGGGTATGAAAGGTTGGGTGGAGGAGAATAGGTTTTTGGTTCAACCATGCAAGAACAAGTAATTTTTAAGTACACAAGTCACTGATTTTGGAGAGTTTCCTTTTTTAAGTCATCCCCAGTCAGAGTTAATATATACTTCGGATGTCCTCTTCGATTAACAGCTTCTGTCCCAAGAGTCGGTAGCAGCTATGGGAAAGGGGGCTTGAACAGATGCCTCTTATGCTCCATGGCACTTAATCCTGGATCAGGAGGTTTTGTTCATGATGTTTCAGTTATATTCCACATGGATTATTGTAGCACATTTTACATGGGGCTAACCTTAAAACAGAATTTGGAACCTGCAGCAATGCAAGCAGTTTTTGGCATCTTCTGATATACTCAAATAACAACACAATTTACACTAGATCCCAGGAGGCTTCTGAATCCAGTTCAGGGTACTGGTTATCACATATGAGATCCTACATAACATGGAACCAAGCTATTTGTGGATTTATCTTGTTGGACGCTTAAGTAGTGTAATCTTGGTTATGTCTGACTTTTGGAAAGCACCTTCTTGAGATCTGGATGGCCTAAATCCTGTAAGTTTCTTATAAGATTTTCCAGACTGTTAGATTAGCAATACTGATGCTGCGGTTCTGTTTTAACAGCTATCGTTTAACTGGGGCATCCTGAGTTTACCATTGTTAGGATAGTTTTAATCTTTAAACTCTGCATGTAAGAAGAATCATTCTGTAAAAAAATGTAAACAAATTAATTAAAATTGATGTTCCTTTATATTTGTCTATCTTACGCATCATTGTCTTTTAGTTGCATCATTGTGTGTTTTTTCTGCACCATTTTTTTTTTCAACACAAGATTCCGATGCCTCTTTGGTTCTGTTTCCACATTTTAAAATTATTATTAAACCTATAATCCATCTTTGAGTATTCATGTTTTCCCCACTCTGTTTATCTTCTCAACAATTTCTTTACTGATTAGATGGAGACAGTGATTGACTAAATTCTATGATCAACTGGGAACAAAATACATATCTTCCCTATTCAGTCCAACACCTTAACCCCTGTAAGAATTGTCTCTAAGATGATTTCCCTGGAAAGATCAAAGTGCTATCTAGTCTAGAATTCTCTATCCGGTATTCAACTAGAAGCTTTGGGAAACCCAAAAGTAGAGAGGTTTTTTTATTTTTTATTTACAGGTTCTCAAACACCTCAATGCTATGACTGTTAAATGGCAAATTAATTTGCAAACCCCCATCATGAATAAAACTAATTATTTAATTGGAGGTAGGTATGGGTAAGAAATGATATACTGGATTTTTAAAGAAGAAAAAAAGAAGAAAAGGTAAGCTAAAAATTAAAGAAAAATATAAAAATAC